GTCTCCCTTCACCCACTTTTCTGTTGTCCGTCCCCTTGGGAGGAGGTCACATGTAGATCCCTGTAAGGCCTTCCTTTCTTATAGCAGCTGCTGAACCCGTGACAGTTCCACATCTGTAAACTTCCTACACAGACACCCTTGCCTGGCCTGATTCACAAGACCATCCCTCAATGTGTCATCTGGCACAGTCCAAGGCTGGACACAGCCTGAATGCCCACCAGTCCGGTCTACCGCACATGGATCTCCATGGCACAAGACTAGCTCCAAGCACAAGGGCACAGCCGGCGAATACTGACAAGGCCGTGTACAGAAGACGGGCGAGCACCCACGAAGTCTCTAGAGGGACACACGCACACGTATCCACACATGCACCGACACTGGGCCACTTCTGGCTGGAACGTTCACCAGAGCACAGTGCCTGTGCCAGTGCTCTGGGTCTGGAACAGAACGGCAGTGTGGCCGAGAGATGACAGCGAGCCCTGCCCGGGACCCGGGCTGCCCCGACTACTCACTGCAGGAAGAGCTTCTTCATCATGCTGTACAGGGTGCGATGCAGGGCAGGGTCGTGGAGCAGGGAGGACGGGGACCGCAGCCACCGGTAGAAGTGCATCACCTGGTTGTCGGCGTAGACGTTGTGGTACTGCGTGATTTCCTTCACCCAGCCCACCACCATGCTCTTCAGGACCCTGGAAGAGATGCACCGGTGGCGCCCACACTGCTCCACTGCCCGAGGTGATGGCATGGGTGCTTCCCACACCCAGGCCTCTGACCAGGCCTCACTGTCTCAGCACACTGCGAGCAGCTCCACGCTGGGGGGAGCTGGACTTGCAGCGCCTGGGTGGCCACGTGTGGGGCCATGTGCCTGGAGTCACGTGTGCTCAGAGTCACGGCCCACACGAGGACCCCCACAAACCAGACAATGGAGGCCACTCTCCTGAGACAACCCATGACAGCAACGGCCTGACCTCCCTGAGGCCTCAGCCACCTACTCTGGTCTCCAGATCTCCTGCCTGCAGGGCCACTGCCCCGAGACCACAGGGCCTCAAGGTTCCGGGTCTGCCTCACCTCTTTCACACTCACATGCGTTTGTGCTCTGCTCGGGTGCGCCCGGCAGATTCTGACTGGGCACCTAGAGCCCAAGGAAACGTCCCGGTGAGATGGGGAAGGACGGGGGGTGGGGGGGATGTGGCGGGGGCCAACGGTACCTGAAAGTGCTGGAGCAGAGAGCCGTCTCGTCATAGCTGGCAGGCATGCAGGCCCCCTGGTTGCCCGTGATCATGTCCTCCAGGGAGGCCTGCGGGATGGCGTCAAAGCTGATGCCCACACTGGCCGCCCCCTCCATGTCGTTGACACGGTGTGACTGCAGCACGGTGTTGACAGCGAGGTTCTGGAGGTCCAGCTCGACGCACACTGTACAGAAGGTGCTGCTCACTCGAGCCCAGGCCGCCAAGGGAATCGCCCGCCCCCACCGGCCCCCGCTCTGGCCTCTGCAGTGTCACCTGTGGAGTAGCAGCCCGAGCTGTTGATCTCCACCATGGTGCGGTCGTCCAGCTCCATGACCAAGCGGCTGTTATCTGCCTCCCTGCCGCCCAGGTCAGGCCGGGATGTGGGGGACAGCCACAGGAGGTGGCTGTGGCGCTGGAGGTGGCGAGCAAAGAAGAGGTCGGAGCCGAAGGTGGAGATGTCCTCTGGCAGGTTCCCCACAGGAATATGGAAATACCTGTGCCGAGGAAAGATGCCCGGAGTGCTCAGGGCCGGCCTGGCACAGGGACCACCTCCAGTCCCCCCAGCTCAGCGGCAGCCACGGAGACACCCCACAAAGCAGGTAACACTCACCTGCTCATCTCAAAGGCCTGGGACAGGCAGGTGTCCAGGTGGAGGTAATGTCGGATCATGTGCCGTGCCCCTTGGCGCTGCCAGTCCAGGACCGCGTAGCTGACCTTCTCGGCCACCCGCACCGGCACCAGGGGAAACTCCTCCAGCACCGGGACCTCGCCCACCAACTGCCTCAGCTCCCAGCTGGACTGCACAGCGATCAGAGTGGGCCCCCGGCGCTCCTCCTAGCACAGGGAAAGGTAAGCCGGTTTAGCACCAGCCCAGGGAGGACAGGAGGAGCAGGCTGACCCAGGGCCTTGGGCAGGGCAGGGCAGGGGCAGGAGGCCATCAACAGAGGCCCTCAGGTACGATGGGGGAGGGAGGGGCAGTGGACCAGAGGCCCGGGGAGGACGGCCCCAGAGCCATGGGGGTGTCTCACTTTGTACGCCAGCAGGAGGCGCTGGATGGCTCTGCAGATGGTCTTCAGGTCTGTCTCTGCTCGAACCTCAAAGGTATGCTTGGGGGGAGGCAGGAAGTCGGGGCCCAGCTGCTCCAGGAGGAGCCCGTGCGCTGAGGAGTACATGGTGCCAAGGCTGGGCATCTGGTTGCTGCGGACCTGACCCCCATGAGACCCAGGACACTGGTCAGCCCCCACGGGGAGCAGAGCAGAGGGGGCACACGGCGGGGACTTCTGCCCTGACTCCAGGGCACGCTCACCCCCGGGCCGGCCTGAGAAGGAGATCTTCTTTCCCCTGAGCACCACGTATACCCATACCTCTCCCACTGTCCGACACACGGGCCCCACACTCACCGTGTCCAGCACAAACACAGAGGCCCTGCGCTGCGTGGGGAAGAAGACCCCAAAGAGCGCCTTGTGGCCTTGCAGGTGGTGATACAGGTAGAGGTGGCGGATGCTTCCTGTGGGAAGACAGGCTGTGACCCTGAGTCTGCAGGAGACATCGCTGGTCATAGCGGGGGCAGCCAGCATGGGCCCTACCTGGCTCCAGGTAGCTGAACTGGGCCAGAGAACGCATCTCCAGGTGCTCCAGGGCAAAGGTGTTTACTTCCAGGCCAGAGAGGTGCCTCACCAACTGCTTGTTGACCACACACAAGCAGCCGAGCTGCACAAGGGCCCGGAACAGCAGCGGCACCTTGGGAGGGAGGCACGGTGAGGGCCTGGACCATGGGTTCAGCTCGCCCAGCCACTCCTCGGGTCTCATCAGAGGCACAGGAGACGTGCTCTGCCCGAGGGATGTGCGCGCCACCCACGGCTACCTGAGTCTCGTAGACGCCCTCGACGTCAGGAGCGGACAGCTCTGTGTTGATCTTGTTGATGTGCTCCTGGTACATGTCCTCAGGCACCGAGTACTCGTACAAGTTGTGGACCACAGTGGCTCGAGGCAGCACCCGGTTCACCTGGGGACACAGGGTGGTGAGGATCCCTTAGCGGCTGTTTCAATCCCCCACAGCCTTAAAAGACTTTGTTTTTTCTCCAGAAATCCCAGTGAGAAAAGGCAACCGTGGGGCTGGAGGTAAAGAATGAAAGTCCCAGCAAGCAGGAAGGCGTCAGGAAGGTAAGACCCTTGTGGAAATACAGCGGTGAGCTCACACCGCTGGGAAATGGGCTGGCTCAACATGAAGGCACCCCGTTCTCTCCGCAAGACAAAGTTCAATGGTTACTTTCTCACGAGAGCTGCAGAACACCCTCCAAAGACAGCTCATCCTCCCTCCTGTGTCCGAGGCTGTGGTGCACAGGGCAGGCTCCACCTCCAGACGCGTCCTGAGCCCGAGTCTGGAACCTCAGATGCCACATGCAGGGCACATGCTCGTTCCACACTCCTGCCCGCCCTCCCTTCACCCCGTCACAGGAGCTGGTCTTGCCAGGCTGCCATACCTTACGACAAGAGGGCCCTTCCTCTGCCTTTGCCACCTGCTTGTTCACGTAGAACACTCGAGGAATGCTCAGCTTGATGCAGTGCAGGTCGCTGCCAATGACGGCCCACAGCCTGAACAGGCCCGGCTGGCTGGTCTCGCAGATCTGAGCACAGAGCACAGAGCACATAGGGCCGCGCCTCGTCAAGCACACGAGCCTGCCAACAGGGTCACACTCACAGTGCCAGCACGCAGCCCACTGTGGGGCCTGGACTCTGCAGGCCGCCCTGCCCCTCCCCCGAAGCACGACGGCCTGGCGGTGGGTTCCTGGCATGGAGAGCAGATTGGGGCTGCCCCTGCACGTACCTGCACTATCTGCCAGGGGAGGTCCAGGATGCTGCGGGCGGTCCGCTGCAGGAAGCTCCCCAGCCCCATGGCAGGCCCCTCTCGGCGCACCCCAGCCCGCAGTGTGTCCTCCGTGCACTCGTGACGCTGTCTCTTCCTGCGCGCCAGGCGCTGCCGGGCCTGCAGCTGCCACTTCTTCTTGTGGAAGCGAAGCCACACCAGAAACTCTTCCTGAGAGGGGAGAGGCCAGTCAGTGGGAGAGGACAGGCTCATGAGCCAGCAGGTACGATGGCCCCTGCAGGCCTCCAAGGTCCCCTACCTGGGTGGTGCCCAGTGGGGGGGGCTGCCCCAAGACCTCCTGCCAGGACACCGTCAGCTCCTGAGACTCCTCCTGGCTCTCCTCCAAGAGGACCCGCTTCCTCTTAGTGACCACAGGAACTGCTACGCGTGGGGGCTTTGCAAGGCCGATGTCCTCCATGTCGGGGGCCCTGGGGCTCGGGCTACCCTCGGGAGCCTGGTTCATCACAACCTGGGAAGGGCCAACCAAGTCTCACGAGCCGACCCCAGAACTCTACCGTGAGCGCCCACTCGGACATGGGGTGATGTGTGTGCACAGGTATCTGTGCGGAGAGAATCATCCCCAGTGCAGCAGCAGCAGCATCTACAGTCACGTCACTTACCCAAGTGCCTGCCACTCACATGAGGCAAATGCTTTCATCATATTTGGTGCACCAATCCTGGTACAATAGAACTTTGCGAAAGCCAGCGAGCACCCTGCTTGCCACCACCGCCCCCCCCACCCCCCACCCATCTCTTTCTTCTCCCTCCTTCTGTCAAGAGGCAGCCTTGACTTGAGAGCAGCACTTGCCAGTCCTCCCGGTTTTCCACTCGAGCGGCTTCTCCAGGAGGCCCTGGGCGGCCAAGGGCTGAGCACTTCTCTACTGGTCAAGAGGGTGGTGGTCTGAAGCCGCACAGAGGCCCCCTTGGAAGACGGGGCTGGCAGTCTGCACACGCAAGGCCACGGCCCTGAGAGACCCCCGGAGCAGCTCACTCTGCACAGGTGGGGCCGCCACGTGTCTCCGTGGACCCCAAGGCCACCAGTAACTACTCATCCATAAGCAGGTGCCGTCTGCTTTCAGCTGACACTAACAGCAAAACGCCTGTACCGACAGAGCCGCCCACCCTCTCCCTGGTGACCTGTGTGGGATATGCCAAGGCCTTGGTCACATCTGGACCTCGTTGTGGGCATTTACAGTCTAAGGCAGTGGTTCTCAACCTTCCTTATGCCGTGACCCTTTCATACAGTTCCTCATGTTGTGGTGACCACCCCCGAACCATAAAATTATTTTCACTGCTACTTCATCACTGTCATTTTGCTACTTTTATGAATCAGGCGACTCCTGTGAAAGGGTCATTTGACCCCCAAAGGGGCTGTGACCATAGGTTGGGAACCACTGGTCTAAGGACTATGGTCCCAGCTGATGAGGATGTAAAACAAGACTTGTCACCTAATGAGGGGACTCTCCCTCCCAAGACCCAAAGCTTCTTCCAGTTATTCTTATCCTTACAATGTGAGGGTTAGGATCTGCCTGTCATATTTTAGCCAGAGCATAGACTGGGCAGGTGTTTGGGTAATTACATCGACTCTCACACACTGATTTGGAGCAAACACCCAAACTCGATGTTGGGTGCTTCCCTTCATGCACACGGACACGGCTCTCTCTGGATTCAGGTGACTGGCACAGGGCTGCACCATCTGCCCCACACGGGAACTCCACTGTTTCTTACCATGGATTTACTCTCTGGCACACTGCTTTGCTTCTATTGTCAACAGTATTTTGCACAAAATATTTACTAATTTCCCCTAACGTGTAAGAAAGCTGTAAGTTTTGTACAGTGGCCTTCCTTGTCTCAGCAACGTCCCATCAGTTCACACAAGGCTTGGTCTCTTTAGTGTCTGTGCCAGCTGTTGCAGTATCTCAAGTGAAGTTCTATGCCTTCTTCCTAACCCTTACACTTCTGGCCTCCGTGTCTGCTCTAGCTGGGAGGCGCGCCTCGGACCTCCACACGACGCCGGCTGCTTGCAGCTTTGGCCGCCCTCTCAGACGGGCCTGCTCGGCTCTCCTGCCCGTCGGTTACCTGTCTCTTGCCCTCGACGACAAACAACTCGCTGATCTTCTTCTGCTTGTAGGCGTCGTTCTTCTCCAGCAGCTTTTTATGCAGCCAGTCGGGGTGTCTGACTCTGGGCACCGGGTTTTTCACCTGTGGGAGACACACCGTCAGCGGCCCCAGTCGGACCGCCTGGGCGTTGGCCCAGCCGTGTCCCGGCGAGCAGCCTCACCTGCTGCAGGGCTGCGGGGATGGTGATGATCTTCTGGATGGCGCTCCCCAGCCGCTCAATGTAGTAGTCCCAGTCCAGGATCTGAGCGGGCGGAGGCCGTGGCCGCAGGGCACAGCAGAGAAACAGCAAAGGCTAGCGTCACTCTGTGCCCGGTGTTATGTCTGCATCCCCGTACTGGCTCTGTGCTGGTGGGCGCCCATTTCAGAGAGGAGAAAACCGAGGCACCAGGCTTCCCTATGACCACAGGGCCAGCACTCCCACCCTGAGGAAACTTTAAGGGCCTCCCTTGCATTTAGAGTTGTCCAATGGTCCTAAAGGGCTCCTGCTGCCTCAGTCACTGGTCAAGTGTCACACAGGAGGAAGTCACAATCAGGAAAATGACCAGGGGTGGCATGTCCTGCTCGGTGTTTCCCTCCCTGAAAGCCTGGGAGCAGTCAAGAAACCGGCGCTCACCGTCCGGATATCAAACTCCTGCAAGGACGAGCTCTTGAGCCACTTCCGGAGAAAGTGCTTCCTCACCATTGGCTCTGCCTGGAAGATGGCCAGTGGGATGGCCCTGGGGAGGAGACAGACACACGCGTGGGCCATCTAAACGTCCCAAGTGTCACCCGCTCCGTGGGGACACACAGCCAGCCTGTGACCTGCCCGTTTCCTTAGAGCTGCCCTTTCCTGCGAACAGCACCCCGTATGGGAGCCCTCGCACAGAGTCACTGAGCAGCACTTCGCTGGATGGCAGGCCAGGGCTGACCGCACCACCACTCTGCTGGAGGCCGGGAAGCCTGCCTTCGCTTTTTAGACACTGCTGGCCCAAGGCAATGGTGGAATTCTCGCCTCCCACCCAGGGACCTGTGTTCGATTCCCAGCCACACAGCTACCCGTCTGTCGTTGGAGGACTGCGTGGGCTGCTGCCACCATGCCGACCGGGTTCCAGCGGTGCTTTCACCAGCACCAGACTGGGAAAGAAGGCCGGCGCTCTGCCTTTGGGAAGGGAAGTAGGTCTGCAGGGAAGGAAGCCCCAGGTGCTGGTGTGCAGGTCTCTGGGGGTCGGAAGGGTGGCGTGCTCACCTCTCCGTGACAGGTGAGCCCTCGGGCTTGCGGGAGATGATGTATCGGCAGCTCAGCCCTGCATCCTTGACCATCTGGTCGCCCAGGAACTCAGCCAGGCGTTTGGCGGTGCTGATGGAGGTCGACTTCTGCTCCCCGTAGTCCTCCAGCTTCCGAGACATGGAGCGGTTCTCTGAGATGAGCTCAAACAGTTCCGAGTCTGGCATGTTGGCCGCCTAGAGAGAGGCGGACAGACAGATGGCACTGCAGAGGTGGAGACGCAGTTCAAGGTCCTCATTTCGAAGGGGCTGGCTGCCTCCGACCAGTACACAGCAAGGCTGGGCGCACCGAGGCTGCTGGAAGAGGGACTCTGGTGGCTGCTCCCCAAGGAAGACGAGGATGTGGAGAGAGGGGCCAGAGGAAGGGCTGAGAAGGAAGTGGAAGGGGCAGAAGCAACAGTAAAGAACGTTCCCTCCTGAGCTCTGCCACTGCGGACATTAGGATCTCATCAGCATCGGCCCTGGGCTCACTAAGCTCTGTATTCTGGCTGCTGCGGGAGGGGGCAGGTGGGCCTCACCTTGCTGTATAGCACGTCCAGCCAGTAGTCGGCCACCTTGGCCACGGAGCCATACACCTCCTCCAGCGTGCTGCCTTTGAGGAAAGCCTCGAACACCGAGGACTGGAAGATCTTGATCAGCTGCAGTTCCCCCCGCCGCTTGACCTCGAAGCCCTTGAGCTCGGCCAGGGAACCGTCCTCGTTGAACACAGCGTATCTAGGAGCCAGGGAAGTGGACATTGTGCCAACTACGCTTCACTCCCTCTTCTGCCACCATCAGGGGCCAGCTGCGCCCCGCCCCCCCACCCCCACCCCCCGAGTTCACGCTCCACAAACATGACCATGATTTAAGGACCTGCAAGCCCAGAACCCAGCATAGCTGGTGACACAGCGTCTACATCTCTCCAACTCTTAATCAATCAGCCAAAAAGAACAGAAGCAAGGTCTGTGGCTACCCTGGTGCCCAGCCCACACTGCGGATAGGGGCCTGAATCTGATCTGCCCACCTCAACCTATGACCTTCCTGGCAGATGCAAGGGGCTGCGAGCGAGCCTCCCACCTCTTCTTCAGTTTCTTGCCTTCTTCCTTGGAGGCCGGCAGGATCATGGCAAGGTAAGGCCCATCGACTTCAAAGAAGATGCTGTTCTCAGAGCGGGTGACGTAGGTGAGTGAGGAGGGCTCAGCCAGCTCCTGGTACTGGTGGTTGGTGAAGCCCTCCTGTAGCCAGTGGGGACAGTATTAGAAGCCACCCCAAATCACGCCCGTGTCTCCAGTCAGCTACAGGTGCAGTGAGGGGTCAATCCCGAACAGAGGACAACAGTGGAAAACTGGGGTCCCAGGTGCAGTCAGGTGGCCAGCGGCCGTCCTGCAACAACAGTCTAATGGGGACCCTTTTCCCACCAGCACATGCTCACGTGGTGTCTCTATGTCCCATGTTGGTTCTTCTGAGAATACTTCCCTCTTTTCTCTCATGCACTTCACTGTACAAGCAGTACACTGTAGTCTGACTTTATCAACAAGCGTATGCGTAACTTTATATATGAACGTAGCTTTGGCGTGCACTGGGAAGCCAAAAGCTGGTGCAACCAGTCTTATGGAGCCACTCATTTTCCTAATTCTGTCCCATTTTTGCAACTCAGATGGCAAGTCTAAAATCCTTTCACAATAAAAAGTTAAAAGCTGAGGAGTCTAGAGCCCTAGTTAAATCAGTGAACATAGCGTTGAAAGCGCCTCAGGTTGAGGAACAGCCCTGAGCAGGGAGCAGGCAGGGAGGCTTGGGAAGGTGAGCCCACCACGTTCTGAGCCAGTAACATCAATTTTCCAAATCGCCCTCAACCCGCTCTTACTTACCTTGACCATGATGTTCAGCATGGCCCCTGGGTAGGAGATGGTCACCTTGGGCTTCTTCACATTGGTTGTCTTGACGACAAAGTTTTCAGGGAAGCTGTTGGGCAGGACGCACCATATCCCATCTGTGTCCAGCTCTAAGGGCCGCCTGCAGAGGAGACAGACACAGGCCCATGGGGTGGGCTGTGGCCTCTGTCCACCAAAGCCAGGGTGTCAACTCAGGGCAGTCCCCACAGAGCCAAGCTCTCACCCGATCTGCTCGATGAGCTCCCGGGCTTGCGTGATGATGTTGGCCCCCGTGAAGCAGACGATGCCAGCCATCTCCATGGAGTACCAACGTGCCCTGCAGGAAGAGGGAAGAGCAGGCATGGCTCAGGGGGGACAGGGGACTGCTGAATGCCATCTTCTCTCCTCACCCGCCCCAGCCCACCCCACCCCACTTCTGCAACACCCTCAAACTCAGTGAACAGCACTGGCCTGCTCTACCCCTCAGTCACTCCCTCATCCATTGACTCTGAAGGGCCATGGGTTCTGCCTGTCCCCAACGGCACGCACCCCTTGCGCATGACGTAGCCGTAGAAGGAGTTGAGGATGCACTTGTGGGCCAGCTGCAGGGAGTCGTACAGGATCTCCATGTTCTTGCAGCGCTTCACTTCAGCTGCGTCGCCCGCCTCCACGGCTGCGGACAATTTCTTCTTCCACACCTGGGGGCACACGGAGGCTCACGCACCGGCACCTTCTCCCACGCACCAGCAGCATCAACTGCCCAGCGTTTTCATCTTCAGAAAAGTTTCAAAGCTACAGAACACTTGAAAAACGATCCAGTGAAGACCGTGCATGCTTCTCCCTGAAGAGCTCCTCTTCAAAGGTCAGTGGTTCAGGTGTGTGGGCGCTCCATCCTAGACCCCAACTCTCCTTCCTCCTCTCCCCTCCCCACTCCCCTGTGCTGCCTGTGACTTGAACAAGTCTGGAGCCCACTGGCAGCAGGAGCGCTGGCACAGGAGGGTCCAGGCCAGCGTGCCCGGCGAGGCTCCGCCCACCGAGGGCCTCACCTTGTGCAGCCCCTTGAACTCATAACGCCGGTCCCGGAAGGCGCGGACCGTGTCCACATAGAAAGAATTCTCCCGCTGGCAGATGGTGGTGAGGCGCTGCTCCACCCGGGTCACGTGGAGCTTCTTATATGCTTTTCGGCAGTAGTCTGGGGCACACAAAACGAACAAACAAAAAGCATGGGGTTGGGGGGTGGGGAGGACTCCGCCACAGGGCCACAGAGCCTTTGCTGACCTGAGGTGACGCCCCAGAGCCTGGGGACAAGCAAGGGGTGAAAGGCCACGTGGCTCACCTGCCAGCCTCCGCTTCTCATACTTGGCCTGCTCCTCCCGGGACAGCTCGTGAAAGGCGCGGGCCGGGCCCTCTGGGAACAGGGGAGGGAACTTCTCCGACTCCAGCTGGTGCTGGATGCGGTGGTACTCGCTGCGGCTGGCTGGCACTGGAAGGAGGCAGAGAGGCAGCGACACAGCTCGCTCTGCTCCCTCCCAGGCCGCAGCCCAGGCACCAGGATGTCCACTGAACCCACCGTGCACCCCAAACCGCCGAACCCCCTCCCTGGTGCTCACTGAACTCGCCCCTCCACTGCCAAGCCATCTTCCTCTGACAGTTGGCTCCAGGCTTGTTAAAGTCACAGGCGGCACAGGTGGCCTCGTCCACCATGGCGGAGGGCTGGGGACAGGGGCAGAGCGGGAGTTAGGGTTTCAGGTAAGGCGAGTGCCGGCTCTGCTGCGTGCAGTGAGAGCTTGCTCACCTGCAGGCGGTTGGTGAGGATGATGTTGGGGTACATGGCTCCCACATCCAGGTGGTAGATCAGGGGGCACTCGATTCGATTAGGGACATCCTTCAGGGAGATGAGTCTGCTCTTAATCTGATCGCACACCTACAGAGAGACCATGGAGGCAGAGACAAAAGTCAGGAGGGGAGGGAAGCGCAGGATGGCCATGAAGGTGCTACCTGGGACTCTGGGACACAGGCCTCCTGGAGCTGAGTGAGAACCCCACAGAGAAGCCTATGGCTGAGCCCACTCACAGTGACAATGGAAATGACATGGCGGCCAACTGCCCAGGAGCGCATCCACCCAGGGCTGGCACAGTCGCCTCTACCACTGCAGACTCAAACCCACCTATCAATTGCCCTGCTGTGTCACCTATATCACTGTGCAACCCAGTGCCAATCCATCTGTGCCGCCTCAATGAAGCACTCCCCTCCCAGAACACTGCACCTCCCCACTCACCATGCCCCAGACTCCGATGGGACCCCGAGTCCTGCCTCAGCGTCTGTGGGACCGGCACCTCTTCCTGCCTCCTGCCCTTACCACCTCACCTCACAATAGACCCCTGGCCTGCAGTGGTACCTCTTGGAAGTTGGTGACCTGCTCGATGGGCACCTTCTCCTCTTCTTCAACAGCATGGCGCAGGGTCTTCTCAACCCGCTGCAGCAGGAAGTCGAAGGCCACAGGGTTCTAGCCCAATGACAGGGACCCGAGTGAACCAAGGCGCACCGTGCCAGCCCGCCTCCATGCATCAGAAGGGATGCCATCGTCAGATGCAGACCCCTGCTACATGCTGGGCACGGACAGAGTCAGCACTGCCCACCCCAGGAGGGCCTGGACTTGCGTGCAAGGCCTGGCAGGCCCAGGGAGCACCGCGTAAAGTTGTGCCCCAAATGAGCCTCATGGCCAGAACGGCTGGTGAGAGGCCACAAGAAGTGGGGAAGAAAGGACTTTGCCTCAGTACAGGAAGCGGTAGGGGACCCAGGTCTCAGGATTACAGAGGGGGGAGGGCAGTGGGGAGACACCCCATCTCAGACCCAGCTCAGAGAGCAGCGGGGACCCAGGACTGAGGGCTGGGGACGTACCATCCTGAAGCGACAGGGGATGTCACTGCGGAACACTCCTGATTCCAGGGCCTCCACGTGGCCACCCACGTAGGTCTCGGCGTCCAGCACATGGCCGTCATCCGTCAGCTTGTTGAACTCCTGTTCTTGCTTGTTGGGGAAGACGATGTTGGCATGGAAAGCCTGCACCATCAGCAAGGCTTCACAGAGAGTTCCGGAACCCTTCCGCAGCACCTGGTGGGGAGAAGCCAGAACCACTCACGGCCACGACTTGCTGGCAAAATTCTCCAAATGCCAGGAAGGCACCAAACCTGACTGATGAAAAGGAAACAAAGTCTACTGACACGCTGCTAGCCCAGGCCTCGGGTCCAGAGAGAAAGGGAGCCGAGGGACGGCGCAGCACAGCGGGACCTTGAGAGCGTCACACCGCGCTAGTCTGCTGCAAAGCCCCTGCGAGATCGAGATCGCACCCTACATGAGCAGGCAGGACTTCGGAGGGCTAGTGGCGGGGAGGAGGCGGAGAGTTTTTGCTCAGGAAGCGCTGAGGACAGGATTTGGAGGGTGGTGAGAATAACTGCAGTCGGCATCACTGAACTGTGTGCATCGTCTGCTGAGTTGGCAGCTATTGTGCTGCATGTTTTCACCACAACTTAAAAAGAGTTGCTGTACACTCTGCTTCCAGTGGTCATGGTTTCCCAGGGACACAAGGGCTATCTCCAAACGCTCAGAAGTCACTGCCACCGTGTGTGACCAGGCCACCGTACACAACCGCGGCCATGGCAGTGACCACGGCATTCCTGCGCAACTCCTGTGCCTTCAGGAGCCGATGGAGTCAAGAGGGCCTGGGGCAGAGTGGACAGGGGCCAGTCAGCACTGACCTCATCAGGCTCCATGGGGATGATGGTACACAGTGCAAAGATGAAGGGGTGCACGTATTTCATGTACATGTAGTACGTGGCCACGGCGTCTGACACGGAGTATGTGGCCAGGGTCTGGGAAGAGAGCAGGACAGAGAACCTTAAGGCTTGTCACGCAGCTGTCGCCAGTGTACTCCGGGGGCAGGAAAGCCCCCCGAGTTGGGCCTGGGTGAGGCAGAGCAGGCACACCACTGTCCCCCACAGCTCACAGGGTGGCAGGGCACACGTGGCTGCAGAGCAACCGCGGGCACCTATGTCAGAGCGCGGGGGCCTGGGGGTCGGGCGGCTCACGTGCCTGGGGCTGCTCGGTGGCCATGCGGCACATGTCCTCGGGGTCCAGCTCCACAGGGTCATAGCCCAGCTTAGCTTTGGCAGCCGCCTTGAGGTTGTGACTGCCCACAGGGAGGTAGCTGTCTCTCTTCACCCACCTGGGGGTGAAATGGGGGTGGAACCCACAGGTTACTCAAACCGGAGGCCAGGACAGCAGCACAGACTCGCACAGCTTGGGCAGCTCCTTAGCACACATGGCAGTGCCAGAGGCCACCTTCTGTCCCAGGGCTCCTCAGCCTGCCTCATGCCATGACCCTTTCATACAGTTCCTCATGTTGGGGTGACCCAACCATAAAATTATTTTCGGTGCTACTTCATCACTGTAGTTTTGCTACTGCTATGAATTGGGCAACTCCTGTGAAAGGGTCATTTAACCCCCAAATGGGCCGCGACCCACAGGCTGAGAACCGCTATTCTGGACCCTCCACTCACCTCTCACCCAGCAAGAGACTCAGCCTCTGCTTCAGAGTGAACAACTGGCAACTGAGCCAAGCCCCTCGTCCCCGCATCTCCCCAAGACCTCACTCCAAAACTGGACTGGTCCCCACTCACACCACTCACTGCTCACCTCTAAGTTTTGCAGGATCCCCTCACACCAAATTCTTCTCCTTCAGCATGAGCCACTCAGACACACCCTCACTTCAAAACACCCTGGGGTCCACCACCCTCCACTCTGAGGTCGACCTGACCCGCCACTCCCCCATAAACACACCCAAATGCTGCCTGTAGTGAGGTGAGCAGCGGGGTTCCAACAGGACACTACAGCCAGCAGTGCTGAGCCCCCTCTGTCCTGGTCCTCGCACATCAGACTGCCCACCCTGACACCCTCCAGGTCTGTGGGCCTCCTTCCTAGACCACCCTGGTGGGACCCCGTGCGAACCCGGGGTGGGCGTACCGGAGGCAGTCCATGTGGATGCACTGGGGGGCCTTGTACTCCCCCTGGCCGTCCTTCTGGAACCCTATCTCCTGGTACATGCTCAGGCCATGCACGCTCGCTCGGGCTTCCACAAATGGCCTGCGGGCAGTCATAGAAACAAAGGCACAGGCTGATTTCCTCTCTGCGCCCCCCACCTCCCGCCTCTTACCGTGTTTCCCCCAATGAGAATGAGGAAAACGTCCTGGTCTCTCCATCCCTGCCTCCCTCTTTCCCCCCATCATACTCACACACAGAAGGCCCCAGACTCACCAGTCAAAGAAGTCTCCGTTGTAGGTCACCATGATAGTGGGCTTGGTCTCCTGCACATGCTCAAACCACCTCTGGATGAGATGAACCTGCCCCAGCACAGACAGTGGTCAGAGAACTCCTCTCTCTACTTAGACCCAGGACCCTCCTCTCTCTTTCTCTCCATCGGAGTTGGGAAAAGCCTCTGCACCTGCACCCATTCAGCCCAGTCTCCATGGAGAAGACCACGAAGCCGGATACCCACTTTGGGAGCTTCAGTTCTGACAGAGGCAGCACCAAGCGGCCTCACACGGACCACAGCGGTCTCCCCACAGCACCAGGGCAGCTTCCCATATGGCACCTGTTACCTCATCGGGCTCATTGAAGACACAGAATGGTCCTTCATACTCTGGCTTGGGGGTGAACTCAAAGTCGTCGATATCTTCTGACACAATCTCCCGGTTGGTGATCAGGTAGCCCTGGTAGGGTTTAGAAGCAGTACCGTGAGAGACAGTAGCACCAAGGTACAGCCAGAAACTGAGGATGGAGAAAGACCTTTGCAGCGACACGGAGCCAGCAGGAGTTCTCCAAGCAGAGCCATGCTCAGCCCACACTGCTGTCACCTGCAGGAAGGCGTGGCCAGGTGCCCCCAGTTTGCTCATCAGATAGCTGGACTCTGTCTACTCATTCAGTCACCCAGCTAGCACACCTCAATTGTCATTCTCTGCACTTTCAGACACTGCCTTTTCACAAATAGAAGGTTTGTGGCAGCCCTGATTCCAGCAAGTCCATGGGCATCATCTTCCAAGGGCAGGTGCTCACTGGGTCTGTGTCACAACCCTGCAAACTTTGACAGTGCTGCTGCACACTGACTAGACCACAGCACGGTGTAACTGATCCCTGCACTGGCAATGGCTCCGAGGGGGGCTTGGGCTGGCTCTGCAACAGACACAGCTCTGGCTCTGGGGGCTGACCAGGTCTTCCTGTCGTCACAGAGCCATGCCACTCACCTGCCCGTCGATCATGTATGAAATCATCATAATCTGGTCAGTCTCAGCATCAGGGAACTTGAGGGGTAATTTGGTAGTTTCAATGTCAAATGCCAAAACAACAGGGTCCTGAGAGAACAGAAAGGGTACCGGTTCAGTGAAGTCCACAGCACACCTGTCTGCCCTCTGAACACTCAGCCAAGTCCTCTCTGCACGTCCGCCTGCCAGCCTGCTCAGCACCCAGGTTGAGAGCAAGAGTCACACTGTCACTGGGGCAGGTCTCGGGGACTGGCTGACCTGTGCCAGCAATAGTTTGTTCATCAAGGGAATGGAAACTTAAACATGTAAGAGACAGAGATTGGTTGATTAAAACTCTAGTTTCAAAGCCTCGCTAAAATGTGTTACCTGGGCTGCTTCTGCCACCGCCGGCAAGAAGGCTCCCGCCCAGAAGGAGAAAGCTCCTGCTCAAAAAGAGAAGGCTCCCGCCCAGAAGGAGAAAGCTGCGGGTCAGAAGGCTGGGCCTCCGAAAGCCCAGAAAACACCTGCCCCAAAGGCAATTGGCAAGAAAGCACAACACGCTGTTATAAAAAGTAGTAAAGTTTCTATTGGCCAAGCTGAATAGATAGATAGATAGATAGATAGATAGATAGATAGATAGATAGATAGATGGATGAATGTGGTACCTCCATTTGGCCTTTTATCAAAGCTGACCAACCGGTGCCTGTGGTCCAGAAGCTGACAACTTCATGTTAGCAAAGGGACCACCTAGTCTGCTGACTGCTCCAAGGTCACGGGCGTGTGCTTAAAGAAAGGTCTTTCCACTATAAGCCCAGCGCTTTTCTACCACATCACGTGGCTAAAGAACCTACCAAGCACACTGCCAGTGAATCAACTCTGATGCAGGGAAACCACATAGGGTGTGTGGCACTGTGCATCTTGATGGGCACAGACAGCCTCTCTCCTCTGCAGAGCGGTGGCTTTAAACCGCCAACACTGGTGCTTAGCAGCTCATGTCGAAACCACTGAGCCACCAGGGCTCCTTTCTTATCAACCACCAAATGCAACGACACTTTTCCTCAAATGGCCAACCCAGTCCAGCTCTGACACTGAGGGGAACGACAGCTCCTTATGCCAGAAAGCATTGAGGAAAATCAACTTCACCTCTCGGCCCTGGTTTTGACCTCTGCAGACCAGTGGCGGCACAAGGCCCTCAGGAAGTCAGAGATAGCAGGACGGAAGTGCAGGCAGTACTCACAGGCCGTTCAACGAGGTCATCTCGGCGGGTGATTTCCACAGGAGAGGCACTACCCCGGTATCTGATGTTGTACCAGTGAGCCTGTGGAACAGTAATACTCTAAAGAACCCCACATCTAGAAGTAGATTTTCTATGGGTTTGTCCTTAAGTATCACCTCCTGGGCTTTAAGGGAGCTCGTGAGAAAACAGTCCTGTCAACCATCTGGGATCAAAAGGGCAGCACTTAACCAGAGATCAAACTCAGGAGGCCGGAAGGGATCGGAAAGGAGGACACAGAAACGGGGCCGTGGCAGAAGTGGGAAGAGTGCTGCTGCCTAGTGGTGAGTGCAGCCAGTGCAACGGAGACGATGCAGACGAACTGCTGAATGGGAAACCAGTCTGCTCTTATCCAATTCACAATAAAAACCTTTTGAAAACTGTGACAGTCACACAATTTCATGTCAACTTTGAGATATATAATAGTGTAGGGGAGGTATTCAACCTGTCTATCAGGTCGGTCTGATGGTGCCTCCTTGTGGGCATGGCCTTCACATAAGGAGGGCCCTGGGGACCTTCCCTTTCTCTCTGCCTTCACCTCCTGCTCGAGGACCCTGGTTGCTGCCACAGCCCTGTGCTGTCACCACCGCCATTGGATCCTAGGGACTTTGCACTCCCTGGCTCGTGATCCCCCTGCACTCTGCATCACTGCATGTGGCTGCGTGAGTCTGAAGAGGGATTTATGGACTAGTGTCAGACTTATGGACTTGACCTGGACTGGGCTGGGTTGTTTTCTTGATATACAATGACTTCTCGATATAAAGCTCTCTCTTACATATGTATGAGTGTCCCTGGGTTTGTTTCCCCAGTCACCCCGGTCTCATGCACACACAAAGAAAGAAAGAAAGAGCGCTGGAGTCCACACAGCCCACTCACCACATGGATCTTCAGGTCGATGGAGAGGCGGATGTGGTACGGGACGTCGTACTCCCGCATGTCTACGATGTTGTCCATCTGGTCAGCTATCTTTTTAGAGGCTTCCTCTTCATCGTTAATTACTCCACCCCCTTGCAGAACACTACAGAAATTAAGAAAGAGCAGTTCCCTCAGCTGGACTCAGGAAGAGGCTGGAGGATGTGAAGACTGGAGTCAAAGCTGGCAGCTGCCACAGGAATATCCCTCCCTCATCTTGGGACCCAGTGGCTGCCAGGTCAGCCCTTCCTTGAGGAGTGACCTCAGACGGTCACCTGTCTAGGTTCAGGAAAGCCCGGTGTCCACTTGGGACGCAAGCATGTCACACACTGTACACTACACCTGTTTGCCAAGAGGACAAGGAAAGCATGCTAAGCTCAGTGCTGCCTGCCAAGGAGTCCACTGTATGGCAGAGGCCACTCCTCCTGCCCCGGCGGTGCCCATCACACACCGTGTCGTCTGCTACACAGAACGTCGGACCCTGCAGAGGGGAAGGGCACCGCTCATGCAAGCAGGCTCCAACCTTCTCGTGTCTACAGAGGAGGCCTGGCCGTGTCAAGCTTCAGTTTCTCCAGCACGAAAACAAAGATGACCACAGGCCTATCCTACAGGAGTGTCCATCCTGAGGGTCAGTGAGGGGTAGGTCACTGGGCTCTGTGCACCAGGCCTGAGGCAGGCTAAGTGACTGGAAACAGGAAACCACTTCTGTATGACAGTTGCTCTTATTCAATCCAAGCCCTTGTTAGAATATTCTGTCCAAAGCTAACCCAGGAAGCACTCAAAAAGGAGCCTGGGACACAGTGGTTCAGGGTTTCAGCTGCTAACTAACTGAAAAGTCTACAGTCAGAGCTCAGCAGCTGGTCAGAGGTAGGAAGATGTGGTGGCCTGCTTCCATAAAGATGTACATGGTCAAGCACACAACATTGAATGAGTCACAAAGGCAATAAAGACAGACAGCTGAATTTCAGAGGGCTTGGGCCTCCAGGGATTGGTCTGATGACACCTCACAAAACATCCTGGAAATTAATCTAGAGCAGCACTGGTGGTGGTGGGGGGACTAGAGAACCTTTCAGGGCTCCAAAAGCCTTTTGTTGAAGAAGATTTTTTCCCCTGAGATCAGTGCACTGTCTAATGACTCAAGACTTTCACCTCTCAGTCTTTTATCCTGCTTCCTATAGTGTTGATGTTCAGATAGTTGATGACCAACATCTGCGTATTTAAATGTACTTAATGTGAGGCACTTAAGAAAATATGTGTAGATGGCCTCGTCTTTCCATAAACTAGGAAAACAGTTTTACAAAGTTTGGGCTAAGGTCTTTCTCCTGTACAATTTTTTTCAATGTCACTCACTTTTAAAGCCTGAATCTAGCCCGAGTGAGAAAAGAGAGGCCGCTACAATACACCAAGACGAGACCTGGAAGCCACTTCACTTGACACAGAGCATGTACCCGATTGTGCGAGTGTCTCCAGGTCAGCTGAAGTCAGGGTACCTTTATGCCAAGTGTCCTTACTCCTTACACTCTATTCATCTTGTACCCTGGAGAGCAGGCGTTCGGAACCCGCTCGTGGCTTTAAGAAAACAGCACGTGCCTGGAGAGCATAGACGTGTAGGTGTCGTTGGCGTGTTCTCGCTCTCGGTTCTTCCGCACCGCAGGGGAGATCTCCTTCCTCACTTTCACCAGGTCCTCCACCGTGTTGAAAGACAGCTTTATGTAATTCCGCTTCAAGCCCACCAAGTGATTTGGCTGTAAGGTGAAGAGGTCATGCTTATGAACTTAAGAGAAAAAGGGTTTTGCAGGTCAGATAAGCAAGGGACTAGAGTCAAAGGTGAACACACACAGTCTCCGGTTTGGTAACATGCCACAGCACCGTAACTCAGTTGTGCACATGGCACCTATCGATGCCAGAGGACTTCTTTCAAGAAGACTTTGAGACAGTTCACCCACCAACCCCCTCCCAACACGACTTACTCTCTGGACTAGGAGAAGGCTCCCACCCAGTTCCCGTGGCACAGCAGTGAGGGCAACGGAAGGCAGAGGCAGGTTATACCTACCAAGTCCAGATCTTCTTTGGGGACAGTCTCCACTTTAGCAATTTTACCCTGAAACTTCTTGGAGAGAAAAGATGAAACTTCTCGTTCACAACCCTGAATCAGGATCAGAATGAAAGGATTTTCCGTTAGCATGATCTATCGGCACCTGTTTCCCTAAAAGATCTTTTCTTTCTGAGATCCAAAGTTCACTACAGAATACAGCACAGGTCAGATGACATGACTCTGAAATATATACTCACCTTCCTAGTTGCAATGTAGAAATATGGCTTGTAGGGTAATGCCACCTGCAAAAGAGTAGCAGCCCACCCGAGGGTGATGAGAAAGAAAAGAGAGAGGGTTTAAAAAAAAAAGAAGACAGGTTGTTTGCAGGACATGAGCAGGGCATCCTTGACTTAGATATGCTTAGGAAAAGTTATCACAAAAGGAATATGGCCAAATCTCAGAAACAAGAATCTAAGATTAACCATTAAAGTCCTAACGAGTAAAGGTCTCTTAAAACAAAAACTCAAACTCATTGCTATAGGGTCAATTCTGACTCAGAGAGAACCCATAGGACTGAGTAGAATTGTTCCTGTGGATTTCCAAGAAAGTCTTGTGCTTATCCTATGGAGCCGCTGGTGGTTTCAAACTGGGGACCTTGTGGCTAGTAGCCCAACTATGCCCCCAGGGTTCCTAGGAGACCCCACATGATGACCAGTGAGACCAAGAGGACACAGACAGCTACACAACACCAGCTGTCTAGACTCAGAGAAATCAGTGGATTCTCTTCACTCTGGACCCAGGTTCTCATCATGAGTGGGTTTTAGATTCTTCGGGACTTATGGACTTACCTTAAATCTGCTTCCATCGTCTTGAATAAAGTAGTAATCTACTGCACTGACGAGGCGCTTGTCTTCATCTAACACTTCAGTCTGAAAGAGAGGATCGCAGTCAAAGGGCACAAGACCGTCCTCTAACATAGTAAAGAACTATTTTCTTCCTGCTCTTGAGAAACTGAGCACTTTAAAAATAAAATCCTACCCAAGAGGCAAGCGAATTTTGGGAATGATGAGGGCAACAAATGTATAGATGTGCTCTACACAATTGATCTATGTATTGTGATGAATTTTATGAGCCCCAATAAATTGATTTAAAAAAAAAGAAACAAAAGGAAAAAAAAATACGTCAATAAAATCAATATATCTATTGTTGATAAAAAAAAAAAAAAAATTCCTTCACTCCAGATCTTAACTCTACCTTTGCAGAAATGTTACTGGCCTCATTTTCTAGAAGTGTAACAGAACACCCTCTGAATGGGGTTCTCCCTCATAATCCTGGAAAGCTGTGCCCTGACAGCAAACACAGTGGTCTCTCACCTCAGTCCTCCCACTCACTGCCATCGTGAGTCCATTCGGACTCATGGCCACCCACACAGGGCAGGGTAGGACTGCTCCTGTGAGTTTCCATGACGGTAACTCTTTACAGGAGAGAAAGCCCCAATCTGCCTCCCCACCCCCACCCCAATCCTCCCACAGAGGCCTCTTTATGGTCGTCCATGTTGTCAAACAATCAGCAGGTCCCCACTGTGTGTCACCCATTTCTTGTGCCAGAAATATGCTACAAGAAGGGATGCCACCGCCCACCAGATGTGGAGAACGAGTGACGGGAAGGCCCCGGAGCTCACAGGATGCATGTTGATGAGCCAGCCTGTCTTCTCCCCAGGCTCCTTCAGTCTTTCAAAGCCGAACCGCAGATCCATCTTATCTGTCCACTGACTTCGCTCCAGACGTTTGATTGCTGAGGTTGAGGAAGAAGAGCCATCATCCCTGAGGAAAAGGAGGACGGGAAATACAGTCTCCATTTGCGTGTTGCCATCTACTCACACAACCCTTAATTTATCCAGGTCAAATGTGACAGCTGTAACAAGGTACATCTATTTCTCAAAAACCTCGCATTTGGCAAAGCAGTTTATCTCCATACTAGGTCTCATAGGAAGATATGGTTGAGGCAGATCACTCAAAATCTATGCAATTTTGTAAGCAGAACAATAACAAACAATAATCGTGGTATTGCTTCATGAATATTTATAGCAGCTTTACTCCTAAGAGCCCCAAACTGGCACAACCCAGATATTCTTCAAAAGGCAAATACTTCAACAATCTGACACATCCACACCATGGAATGCCAAGTAATGCTAAAAAGTACTTATTATTGGTACACTTAAAAATTGGATGCATCTAAAGGGAATTATGCTATGTACAAACAGCCAATCCCAGAAAATCCCACCAGCTGCTATGCAGAGAAAAGACCTGGTGATCTGCTCCAATAAAGATTCAGTGCGGCTGACTCCACCTCCTCCTGACAGAAGAGGCTCAGAGCAATGATTTCATGAGGCTCCTGTAAGACCTCTCCCATGTTACTAGACACAGCCAACTGCCTCAGCAGGACCCAGCGGCTAACACACCATTCACAGCGGTATCGCAATGCCACGCAGACAAGTCAACCACAGTAAACCCCCCAAAATCAAGAAAAGTAAATGCAAACAACCGTAAGTCACCCAAGCCCAATAAAGTACTCTAAAGAAGAGGAATAGAATGGAAGCAAAGGAAACCCAAACCAGTGAGCTTGAGCACAACCCCTCGAAAGGCATCCAAAGCAAGCCCGAGAAGGATGTGGAACACTATCGAGAAACACAAAATCTACAAAGAAAATAGCACAAGAAATCATGCAAGAAAATTTCCCAAACATCATAAAGGAAGAGAAAATAACTATTCGAGAAGCTGAGAGAACAAAGGGACCAATAAACCACATACACTGGAAGACATGGGGGCGGAGGCCAGCAAGCTGGAACTGATCTGGATTGCACTCTGTAGAGGTCGGACTAGGACATAAAAACAATTATCCTTATTCGGCTGGAAGCTGTCACCATTGACTGAAGAAGAGAAAATTGCATAAAATCAATTAAAATGCTCACTCACTATTGCGCATCTGTTTTCTTTTCGTATAATTGGGATGTGCAACAGATATCTTCACTTACTGTAAGGAACATTTTATGTACTATAAACGGGTGAGCGAGCATTTTACGATGATAGACTTGTGAAGAAGTGGATTTGTAAAAGGGAACTCTAATGGAGATCAGTTCCAGGGAACTTTTGAGACACTGACTGGAGATGCACAGGCATAGATGACTCCTTAGTGATGCCTTTCACAAAAGAGGGGAATATAAAGAAAAGAAAAAAGCAGACGTTAAATGGATAAAGTTCGCCAAAAGGATGGAAAAGGAATAAAAGGATTTTAAAAATATAATCCCACTTCACTGGAGATCCCCTTGCAGAGGGGCCTCGGGGAGGAGATGAGTCAGTCAGGGTGCGATGTAGCAACGATGAAAAATAAAACTTTCCTCTAGTTCCTAAATGTTTCCTCCCCGCTCCCATTATCATGACACGAATTCGACCTTGCAAGTCTGGCTAAACCAGAGGATGTACACTGGTGCAGATAGGAACTGGAAATACAGGGAACCCAGGGCGGATGATCCCTACAGGACCAGTGGTGTGAGTGGCGATACCGGGAGGGTGGAGGGAGAAGGTGGGTAGGAAAGAGGGAACCGATTACAAGGAACTATATGTGACCTCCTCCCTGGGGGACGGACAACAGAAAAGTGGGTAAAGGGAGACATCGGACAGGGAAAGATATGACAAAATAATAATTTATAAATTATCAAGGGCTCATGAGGGAGGGGGGAGCGGCGAGGGAGGGGAAAAATGAGGACCTAATGCCGGGGGCTTAAGTGGAGAGGAAATGTTTTGAGAATGATGAGGGCAAAGAATGTACAAATGCGCTTTACACAATTGACGTATGTATGGATTGTGATAAGAGTTGTATGAGCCCCTAATAAGATGATTAAAAAATACATATATATATATTCCCACTTAGTTTTGTAATTTTAGGCAAGAAAATATTTTAAGACTGTTTTGCATGTTTTCTTTTTAATTAGGATGCGCAATATAGGTATCTTCACCTATAGAAAGGAATGTTTTATGTACTATCAAAGAGTGAGTGAGCATGCTTTTAAAGTAAAAGATTAAATAGTTCTATTTTTTTAAATGACAGTAACACACCTACATAGATCAATAACAACACTAAATGTCGATGGATTAAATGCACCAATCAAAAGACAGAGAGTAGATTTCAATACACCACACACAAGGAAAGATCACCAGGAAAAGAAACTTAATAAAGAAACAGAAGATTTAAACAACATAGCTTGCCCCCTAGAAACATACAGAGCACCCCACCCAACAACACAGTATACATTCTTCTCCAGCACACAAAGAACATATGCTAGAATAGAGCACATGTTAGGCTACAAGGCAACCCTTAACAAATTCAGAAACATTGAGATCCCACAATCCATTTTCTCAGGTCACAATGCTGTAAAACCAGAAATCAACAATAGAAAGAACAGGAACATAGAGACAAACCCATGGAGACTTAACTTCAAAACAAATGGGTAATACAGAGATCCTCAAACTTTTAAAACAGGGGGCCAGTTCACTGTCCCTCAGACCCGTTGGAGGGCTGGACTAGTTTAAAAAAAAAACTATGAACAAATTCCTATGCACACTGCACATATCTTATTTTGAAATAAAATAAAAAAACAAACGGGGCAAAAACACCCTGCGGGCTGGATAAATATCCTTGGTGGGCCGTAGTTTGAGGACCCCCGGGGTAATAGATCAAACCAGGGATGCTATTAAGAAATTCTTCGAAACAAATGAGAACAATAACATATCACACCAAAGCCTTTGGGACATAGCAGAACCAGTTATCAGAGGTCAACTTATTGCAATCAATGCACACACACACACAAAGAGAAATCCACAACCAACACCTTAACACAACACTTGCAACAGGACAAGGGCAACAGAAGAAGAAATCATAAAGATTAGAGCAGAAATAACAAATTGGAAAACAGAAAAAACATGGAAAAAACTCAACAAGGCAAGAAGTTGCTTTTCTCAGGCACAAGCTCAGGCTTGTAAGGCATCCAGTCTGCTGGCTGTGAGGGCAGGGGTGGGGGGGGTCGGAGAGCATGGTAGAGAGCCTAGCTGGTGCCAGTGAACTATACACCATCAGCTCTAGAGGGCGCCTCACATCATGTGGGATCAGTCAAGGGAGGGGAAGGGGTTGTTGTCTGGTTGAGTGGCTGCCATGGAAACCTCTGAGGAGATGCCCCACAGAGGTAGAGAGCCCTATGAAAAGGATGAGGGATACTGATGGGGAAACCACGCAGGAGAGGGGAAAGGGGCAAACACGTGTGGGGGAACACAAATGCATGTCTGTTGGTAGGAAAAGAGGGAGGACTGACCTCCAGTTGAAAGTGCTTTTGGGGACACTAGGAGGGGAGTGCGTTTGGTGCTATGCACCCAATGGGTCACACTGACCCAGGCTACTACGTGCATCCTGGAGATTCAGGCCGGGTGCCATGTGAATGCTGGGACACCGAAATCCTGGATCTTCAAGGTGCACAGCATGCTCCAGAGGCTGCCTCAGTGAGATTCCATGAGGAAACTCCACTGGCTAAGCTGGATCTTCCTCAGATACACTTGTAACCTGAGGATTTAATTTGGGACAGCTGTCCCAAGATTGCTGAACTGCTGGTAAGTGGACAAACATGGTGTTGCTACATCAATGCTCTCTATATTATATAAAGATATGCATGATTCCAGAAAGCATGTGACAGACGTTCTGTTTTATTTCGTTTTTGTCGGTGGGGGTGGGTACAGGGGTGGGGGTGGGGTAAAAGGGGACGATATCAAGGAGTCCAGGAAGAAAAAGTATGTTTGGAAACTGATTGTGGAAGTAATTGTACAATTCTGCTTGATGTGATTGAACTATGGAATGATATATATATTAGCTCCCAATTAATAACAATTTAAAAAAAACAAACAAAAAAAACCCAACATAGATCTAGGAATGCGTTTTGGCCTGGCACTGAATCCTAGCTCAAACTTAAGAACAATTAGTTCTTACATCAAAGCCCTGCTCGATACTCACCCTCAAGAAGGGAACACAGAAGATACGGTGCTACAGCAAAATGTGATGAAGAAATTAGATGGTGCCTGGTTATCGGGTAAAATAGCGTCCTGGGTCTTAAAGGCTTGTCTCCCATAAGCAGCCATCTAAGTGAGATGTCAATTAAGTCCACATGGAAGAAGCACACTATCATCAGTCACTGAAGGACTGTAAATCATATAATCTGAAGTTGAAGGAGGGATTAGTATCAGAGCCTAAATTGTGAGAATCCAGTTTGCAGAAAGCTATACCGTGGAAACCCAGATTCACTTGTGGGAACTACACAGGAAATAAGCCTCTGGTGAACTCCCTCTATCCACAATTGAGGGATGGGAGGAACGTGGTTACTACAGCGTGCGTGAGAGAGAAGAGTACAGAAAATCAAAGGCATCAATCTGACTTGAACAGTTAAATCTTTTGTTAGTTGATCCGCCCTCTGATGCATGCTGGACCTGATCTGGTTTTCAACGTTTTCTGTATTTTCGTTTGTTTGATTTGTTCATATGAGGTGTTAAATCATTGGAGGTCACCCTCTTGAAGCTGTGTTGTATGTTTTCTGTGTTTCAGTATATGAAACCCAGTATTAATGAACGGATAGGACAGCAAGTAGAATAAAGGTTTTGGTGGTGGGGGCGGTACAGTGGTGGGCTGCGGGCAAAGGGAGACGAGGTCAAGGAGTCCAGGAAGAAAACGAATGTTTGGAAACTGACTGTGGTAGCAATTGTACAATTCTGCTTGACATGATTGAACTATGAAATGATAAATGTATTAACCCCAATTGATTAAAAAATTTTTAAAGTTTTTTTTAAAGAATTAGCAAAACTGACAAACTGCTGGCAAACTTAAAATAGATGTAACTTGTGGGATATAAACAGGCTTTTCCCCAGGTTATCTCCCTGCAATATATACCAAACCTAAGGCTGTTTGCTACACATGGTAAACAACTGTACACTTGGGAGGTCAATGCAAGCTGTTTAGAAGTTATTCTCCCTAAGGCAGTGGTTCTCAAACTGTGGGTTGGGACCCCTTTGGGGGTCGAATGACCCCTTCACAGGGGTCGCCTAAGACCACCGGAAAACATATTTCTGGTGGTCTTAGGAACCCAGACACCGCTCCTCTATCCATCTCTAGGCGGGTCCACCCACATGCAGATATGCCCACATACAAGTACCCAGCATGACCACTGTCACCCATGTTACACCAAGACAAATTTTCATTTATTTGTAATTAGAAATAAATATTTCACAATATGTAATTACATATTGTGTTTGTGATCACTCTGCTTTAATTATGTTCAATTTATAACAATGAAAATACATCCTACATATCAGATATTTACATTACGATTCATAACAGTAGCAAAATTGCAGTTATGAAGTAGCAATGAAAATAACTTTATGGTTGGGGGTCACCACAACATGAACTGTATTAAAGGGTCTCGGCATTAGGAAGTTTGAGAACCACTGTCTTAAGGGTTATCAGCCATCTAGAGTAATCAGACTATATAGTCTGTTCCATCCTAAGCAGGGCCCACTCCCTTCTGCTAAGGGTAGTGGACTGGTCCCTTGAAGAAGAGCCCAAAGGCAAAGTCGAGCCCACTCATGGGTGTCCAAGGTTAGGCTACCATCTTCCCCCCACCCCCGTCCCCAGGCTACCATCTTGACTCTAGGGTCCGCCCATCTTGTCACATGTGTACCCCTAGTCCCTTCCCTTCCTATTACGTGTACACCCCTAGCTCATCCCCCTTCCTGTGACATATGTGGTTAACCTGAAATCACGTCCCTACACAGTATAGTATGAAACACGATACTGTAAGCCTGGTAATCTAGAAAAAATAGACAAGTACCTAGAAATGCCCCAACTGCCCAAATTAACACAGGTGATGTAGAAAACTTAAACAGACCATAGCAAATGAATAAAGAAAGTTTCAACCACGAGAAGCTCAGGACCAGGTGGCTTCACAGGTTATTCCACCAGAAAGAATAGCATCTGGGTTCTTAAAACGCTTCTTAAACAAGCAGCCATCTAAGTGAAGCTTCAACTAAATCCAAATGGAAGAAGCACGCCAGCACATGTGACCCAAGGATTGTAAATAATAGAATCAAAATCCGTTGAAGGGAATGGTATTAGAGTTTAAATTGTGAACACCTGATTTGCAGAAGCCTGTGGTTGACAGTGGAAGCCCAAAATCCACATGTAGGGTTTTCACTTGGATTAAGTCTTAGGTGAATTTACTGTGACCATCCTTCAGGGATGTCAAAAGCCTTGCTATCGGGCAGAGAGTACTATAAAGTTAATTATGGCAGATGTAGTTAGGTTAAAAAGCAATATCCTATCATTTGATCTCCCTTGACCCATTTTAAAGTTGTTTCAGGTTTTTAATATTTTCTGCTGTTTGACTGAGGGTCTCGATATTTTGTCAAATCAGTGTTGTTGAATTTTTAAAATTATTGTTTGCTTGTTTTGTGTGATTTTCTGTATATGAAATTCAGGACAGGTAGATCAGACAGTAATTGGAAAGGGACATGGCTTGGGAGGATGAGAAACAAAGGGAGCTAGCTAACAGGTATGAGAAGAAAATGCTCTGAAACTGATGATTGCACAAATCCTAATATGACTGAATGATTATATTGTATGATTATGTGATGTAAATGCCAATAAAGCTATTTTTTAAAAAAAGATTTGGTGCTAGGAAACCCTTTGGAGCAGTTCTACTCTATCCTATAGGCTTGCCATGATAGAATCAACTCGATGTCACACAACAAATCATTTATACAGCACCCTTGAAATCACAAAATTAAAACTGGAAGACCAGGTAAGTGTTTGTCAGAGATTGGAAGGTGAGTTTGGCCATGGCTATAAAGAATGCATAAAAGGTACAACGGATTCTTAGGCTAGAACTTTTGTGTATCGTTAATGTTTTGGTCACCACACAGGTCTACATGGGATAAATCAGCATAGACCCAAATATACATGCACATAAGCGAGGGGTCTAAGTAATTCGGTTGGATGGCTTCAGTGTTGATTTCCTGGGTGCAGAACCAGGAAACAAGATATTACCATGAGGGGAAACTGAGTGCAAAGTGAACAGGCTTCCTGTGCATTACTGCTTACAACTGCCTGAGAATGTACAACTATCTCAAAAAAATTCTAAAGGCATAAACAACAAGGCCCGAGAGTGAAAATGCTGCTCGTGAACAGTCGAGGCACAGGAGAAAGTGGTTCCTGCCACAACGGAGAACTGTGCGATGCAGGGTGCGCTTCTCTGGGGAGGGAGGCCCAGGTGCAGGTACTAATGTTTTCTTACAGTAGAATGCAAAAGGCATGTACCTATGCAACAGTCCAAGGAAGGGCTTTCTCCTTTGCTACAGCAGCTTCTATTTCCATCCCCTCATCTCGATTCCCTTTGCCTGTAAACAATTGTCAGTCTCCACATTATACTCACATCATTCCCCAATTTACCAAGCACAAAGGAGCTAATTGGAGGGATGGAAACATCTGTTGACGCAAAACCACCTACAAATGTAATCTATCCTTCCCGGATACAGATCTCCTGGGTCTAATGCCAGCTATAGGTATATTTGGGTTATAATGTTGTTCTGTGAGCCCATGAGATAAAATTATCTCAACTAATGAGGAAATTCGTTTTCCTCTGCTCTACAGGAGCAATTCAATCCACTGGGCTCAAACTTTCCAAGCCTCTCCTGGTTAGATTTTCAAAATCACTCACGAGGTCTTTACCAAGGTGGGTAGGGAAGGAGAAACGCCCCAGTCGTTGGTCATTAGTAACTGATCCTAGGGGTGGGTCCTGGCCTGGTGTGGGAAACACAAACAAGGTCGAGGGGAGAACGAAGGTGAAGACCCCCTTATAGATTGAAGCAGGAGGCGGGACAAGTTCTCAAAAAAAAAAAAGTCAAAACAGTCCAAGACTGAAATGGAGACTCCCATTCTTGATCCCTGACCCCACCCCACCCCGGAAGTGTCTACGAACCACAAATACAAAAAGAGGCCCCCGAGATCATGTGGACGTGATCTCAAACCCACCATTGCCACAGGCTGGTTCTCTTCAGCCAAAAGACCCACTTTCTCAGCTGCACGCCTGGGAACTTTAAAACCAGAAAGAGCCAAGTGGTAACCCCACGCCCAGCTCTCCTCACATTCCCTCGGCCTCGCGGCCGTCCACCCACCCCCGGTGGACGCTGCCGCGCAAACATCCCTCCCGCGTCCTCGGATGCAGCGGCGGCCACGTCGAGCTCGCCCGAGACCCCCGGGGATCCGCGCGGAGGTCCCGCGGCCAGGGGGCCCGCTCGGCTCTCACCGGCTGCCCTCGCCGTCCGCGCTCGGCTCCGCGCGCCGCCGCCCGCTGTTCGTCAGGACCATCTTGCAGATGAGGGCTGCTGCCTGGGTCACTTTCTTGACAGAAATTGGCGCGCTCCGGCCAATTCTCGCGAGAAAACGGAAGCGCACCAGCGGGAGTTGTCCAATCAGGAGGTGCGGCCGCGCCTCCCCGCCCCGCCCCGCGGAGCGCCAATCTCCGACGGCGCCCGAGGGGGTGGCGACCCGCTAGGGACTGAGTGTAATGTGTCCGCAGGCAAATGCCGCGCGTCCAGGATCTAGCCCCCAGGCGACGCTACGGGACACGGCTTGGCGGGAAATGTCAGACTGTCCCCGCCCCGGGACCCGCGACCCGCGACCCGTGCCTGGTTCCCAGCGGACCCGAGGCGGGGTCCGCACTCCGGTTGGGTTCTGCGAAGAAGCGATGGCGCCGGCGGTGTCGAAGTTGCCGGCTGAGGCCGGGCTCGGGACCCTCCCGCGGCGGGCACTCGCCCAGTACCTGCGCCTTCTACGGCTCTACCCGGTGCTCACCAAGGCGGCCACCAGGTCGGCGGGGCGCCCGCGCGGGACTTAGAGGGCCCAGGTCGCAGTGAGCCTGGGATATGGTCAGCCCTAGGACACGGCCAGCAGGCATATCGTTAGCCCGGAGCAGCCGGCCCGGGCCTGGCCAGCCCTGGGTACAGTCAACCTGAGCCGGGGTACAGCGACACCCGATCCAAGCGACCCGGGGTTTGGATTCCAGAACCGAAATGGTCATGTATTAAAATGACCCTTCAAAGCCCCAAATTTAGCCAGAAAGCCTAGTGTATTTAGTCTTAAAAGGCAATTCTCGTGTGCTCTAAAATGTGAACATTAGGAAATCAGACAACCCCTCTCTTTAGGCACCAAAGTAGAGCGGGGTCTGGGTGGAGAAACAACACAGACGAACTTGCCTGCACTGTTTGCTTTGTCTTATTACCAATCCCAAGCCTACTGCTTGCTAGTGCGTGCATTTCAGCGGAGTGCCCTGTGGGGACAACGGGGAAGGACTGGACTGTGTGAGAGGGGTTGAGAAACTTGTTTTCTCCTTTGGGAGAAAAGGGACCTAGGCAGGGAGTTGCCAGCAAAAGGCTCCCCCCTTTAATATGGGGTGCTGTACTTCTTAGGCATATTCTATATGCATTACTCTTAATTAGTTTTTTAATTCATTCACTTCTGAAACCAAATGAAGGGTCCAGCCCACAGTTGCTGTAGCCAATTACAGAGACCGGAGAGGGTCAGTGTCCATTTTATGAACAGATCTGGAAGACCGGTGGGATAGTTCTCAAGAGCGCTTTGTCGTTCTCCTGTGGTCAGTTTTTGTTACCTTCTAAGAGTCAGTATCACATTGTATTACCACGTTTATAACCTTCCATTCGGAAATACAAACTGTATTTCTTGTGCATAGCTGGCTTTTCTCTTTGGGGGTCGAACTACCCTTTCACAGGGGTCACCCTTTCTCAGGGGTTGCCGATTCCTAACAGTAGCAACATTACAGTAATTGAAGTAGCAACAAAAATAATTGTATGGTTGGCGGGTCACCACATCATGAGGAACTGAATTAAAGGGTCGTGGCATTAGGAAGGTTGAGAACCACTGTTCTAGGCTGATTCTTCATCTTGTTTTAACGATGTAACTGAGAATTTTCAGCACTCACTAATTTCAGACACCTGGGGTACATCCAGGGAGAAAGGGGGAGGAGGAACTAAAACCTAAAATGTGATCAGTGAAGCAAGAGGTACCCCCCCTCACTTCCACTAATTCACCATTTTGTAAATATGTATGGAATGCTGCCTGTGTACTGAGGATGCAGCAATGATCAAAGCCCCTACCCTCTTGGAACTGACATTCTAGCAAAGAATTAAAGCAAAAGCAAATATATCAAAGAAATACAGTGGTCAGGCAAGTTTTTTGTTTTTGTTTTCCTGAAGAGGTGACATTTGAGCAGTGGCCTGGATGAATGGAGCAACCAACCATGTAAAGAACGTAAACAGAAACTACCAGCCGAGGAACAGCCACAGGAAACAGCCAGTGCCAAGGCCTGAGGGAGAAGCAAGGGATAGAAAGAAGAAGGTCTGTGCTCTGGAAGAATGCACAGTGAGCAAGAGAGTGATGTGCAAGGAAAGGTAGCCTGAACCTGATCAAAAGGTCCTTACCAACTGTATTACGCTGGGTTATCTAGAGAAACAAAACCAGTGACACCGGTATAGAAAGAATTGGTATCAAGACATTTCGGCCCAGTCCAACTCAAGTCCACAGGTCTGATGCTAGTCAGAACCATCTTCAGATTCAAGTAGCCTAAAGGCTGATGGCCCAGAAAAGTTAAGTGGGTGCAGGAAGATCACAGGCCAATGGGTGGGGAGTTGCATGGATCTAAGGTCAGTGGAAACATGGTAGGAGGCCAACAGCTCCCAGGTTCAGCAGCCCACATGAGGCTGTCCCTGGAGGCAGACACAGGAGGAAGGAGGAAGGCTAGGGGCTAGCAGGAGGAAGAGAATTTCTCACTGTCTTATAGAAAAGGCCAAACCCCCAAGGGAGGGATCATCAGGTTGTGACCTGATAAATTGGGCTCCACCCATCCACTTTCACACAGTATCAAGCTGACATAAATTCTAACTACCATTCCATTAAGCACTGGGCTACTAACCAGAAGGTCAGAGCTTCAAATCCACCAGTCTCTTTGGAGGGAGAAAAAGGAGGCTGTCTACTTCCATAAAGATTTAATCTTGGAAACTCTATATAGAAGGTCACTATGAGAAATCTGACTCAGTGGCATTAAGTGTGAAGAATTTAGCAGATATAGACTGAACCATTGGAATGAGTTGTCTCCGTCTTTTTTTTTTTTTCCTTTTCAATGACATTTTTATTCTGTTACTCTGACATGTGCAGTTGCAATAAATAAGATACCTTGTACGTTTCCCCTTGAAAAATTATCACAAATTTATAATATCACGAGCAGAATATTGACATGGGTACTCAACCAAGTCCAAACCAACCCCCTTCACTTTGGGATGTTCCGATTCATAGGGTCCTGTAGAACAGTAAAATCTCCTTCAGGATTTCCAAAGAAGTTTTTACAGCTGTGGATTACCTTACCTTTGTCCTACACTACAGAGTGGTGAGTGGATTTGAACCACCTGCCTTTATGTAAGGCTGTCAGGTGCTTAGCCACTGTGCCACCACAACTCCTTGACCTGGGTGCAGTTCACCAGATTTCCCATTTTGCTTGTATTCTGTGAAGTTTCATTTGTCTGTTTTGCAACCACTCAGCTTTAACAAGGCCTCAACTCTGGCTGTCCACAGCAGGGTCTCTGAGCAGTCTGGGGTTCGCGTGCAGGAAAGGGCTTCTGCTGGGCCCTACTGTTTTCTGATGGCCTCTCTGTCTGCAGTGGTTTTTTGTCTGCACTTGGCAACTTCCTGGCCCAGATGATTGAGAAGAAGCGGAAAAAAGAAAACTCCCAAGATCTTGATGTGAGTGGGCCTCTCAGATATGCCATTTATGGGTGAGTGTCACTGCAGAGGGTTTACCTAAGAGGCAGACCAAATGCTAACAAAATCACCCAAAACAACTTTTTTTGAATAATCTAATTTGGAGAATTTTCAATATTAGAAAAAAGCACTGAGGTGATCATTGCCTGAAAAGTCAGAAAGGTGTTAGAGGTATGTCCACTCGAGTCCTCTTAGTTTAATGCAGGTGTTTCGTTTGAAAACCTGGGTGGGAGGCAGCTTCCCTAAGTGGACTGAGAGACAATGACAGCTCACTGGGACTTAAAGTCAGAGTTCAAGATTCAAAGATCCTGAAGACCTTTGGGCTCCTGGAAGAGCAAAACGGATCCAAACATCGACGATGATGACCTAGTTCTTACTGTTACTTCATAGGGTAGAGAGCCATGACTGTGTATCTTGAAATACGTGGGAGTCCTGAAGAACTCCTTCCGAACTCCTTCCTGAGTTGCAAAAGCAGGTCTAGGAGTTTGACCAGTTCAATCCAATGTGAGCCTCTTGTCTACACGTGTGTTGTGTGTGGATTATATGAAGTCCGTGTTCAGAGAATTCAAAACATAGGGAGCCAGAAGTGGGGTGTCCTGGGAAGGGAGCAAGTGAAGGTGGGATGGCAAGGTCTGTTGCTGGAGGATGTGACAGGGAACCAAGCATGCTGCCTTTAGTCACCATGATGCTTCATGTTCGAGAGCGCTTAATGAGTTCATGGGAACGTGCCGTTATCTTTCGATTCCAGTGTTCCATGAACTCCTTAAAGCCCCCTCTTATTTAAAGAAGTAAGTAATTCATCCTAAGGGAGAGTGTAGCACCGTCACGCAAGAGCAAGAGGCTGTTTCAAACCACACAAAAGCTTTTCCACGCACAAGAGTTCTAAGAATCGGTGCTATCGGCCATTATGGTGGAGGGAGTGAGGGGAGCACCAACAAACCAGAACCATTTGAAAGGTAGGAGTTGAAAGGCCCTGCCCTCTTTGTATTATTGAATCGGCTGGCATTGCAGGTCTATTGTCCCAATAGATGTGTCCCAGAGAGCTGTTTCCTGCTAATCGTATACCTTCTGGAATGAATATACACACCAGCCAGTGGGCAGCTCCAATTTCTGTGCTTGCACACGCTAGAGTTTGGGGAGTGATGTGCTCATGTATGTATGACTGAGCACCATCTATGATCCACACCTCCTTCGAGGTACTGGCAACACAATCATGAGCGAGACAGGCGTGAGCTTCCTTGTGGTGTTTTACTTTCCAGGGGGTGAGAAGAGGGGGCTCTACCACTAAGCAGAAGAAAGAATTATGCGTGGTGAACAAGAGGGCCTTGGAACAGAGACTGGATGGAGACGGGTCCACATGTTGGCTTTGAGTGTTGGGAATGGCCGCTCGGAAAAGATTAGGGCATCTATATATAGATACGTAATTTAGCAGCTATAATGCAGGGAGCTGACCACAAGAAGGCGGGGTGGGTAGGAGGGTGAGTGAGCACAGTGAGTCAAGGGGACAGCAAGTGAAAGGAGCCGCAAGGTGAGCAAGTCTGGTCTGTTGCAGACAGGAAGGAGAGCCTGAAGCAGTGTCAAAGCAAGCATCAGTGTCTTGGTCCGTGCAAAGCTGGGTAGTCAGTACGGGTGATACATTACGGAGATGGGGATCCGGACTAGGAGTCTGGGGTGAAGCTAGCCCCGAGTTCCAAAGTCGAGTCACCCCCACCTTGGGGCCTCAGGTTCTTCTTCACAGGGCCACTGAGTCACTTCTTCTACGTCTTCATGGAGCACTGGATCCCCCCCGAGGTCCCTCTGGCCGGTGTCAAGAGGCTGCTGCTGGACCGCCTCCTCTTCGCCCCAGCCTTCCTGCTGCTCTTCTTCTTCATCATGAACGTTCTGGAGGTGGGTGTCTGCCGTGGCCCCTGCAGCAGCTCTTCGTTTTGTCCAAGATTCGTAGCCCACCATTAGAGGGACTGTGATGAGCAGCACCCACTGGAAGTCTCTACCCCATAGGCATCACAGATATTTGACTATCACCCATTACTTGTTAGCGTGTGTCTCCAAATGCCATTCATGTACATCACAGCTTTGAGATTGTCACTAGTTACTGGATCTGTCACTTAAGGTGAAACAGCACAAAGACTAGTCTATCCAAAAAACAGTTTCTGGATATTTTGATGACTAACATAATTGGTTTCCTTTGTAATGCCACATAATTTATTTTATACATTATAAATTATTACAGCCATACCTCAGAGTTACTGCAAATTTGGTTTCTGAGCACGGCAATAAAGCAATTATTACAATAAAGTGAATCCCATGCAACTTTTCATCTCCCAGTGCATATAAAAGTTATATTTACACCACGCCCTGGTAGTCTGTTGGTGTGCAGTAGCTGGAAACACTGCATGGATTACTGAGACGTGGCACAGCCACACAGTGAGCATATGCTGTTGGAACACTGATGCCCACAGACTTGCTCCGGCGCAAACCTGTGTCTAAAAAGCAATAGAAATGTTTATCTTTGAAGCTGATAGAGCAGCACACACAGATGCTGCCTGCGTTCCTAGGACTCCACAGGCTTCAGCTAATGGTTCTGCAGAGCTTATGCTAACACAGAGCCCGAAACATCGCGTTACTAAGTTACTAATACAAACACACAGAAATATACGGGCATGGGAGGTGTGCCCATGTGTAACAGCCTGCAGATCTGGTCTCTGAAATATGTTCAATCTAAAACCTGATTCACAGTCCTGGGAGACAGGGATTGGGTCAAATTGTTTGGCTGAGATGTGCCATGTTCTGGCCTGATAACATCAGGTTTTATTTGGAAATAGTATCCCAACTTCTTTTTTTAAATCATTTTATTAGGGAATCATACAACTCTTCACAATCCGTGCATACATCATTTGTGTCTAGCACATTAGTACATACGTTGCCATCATCATTCTCACAACATCTGCTTTCTACTTGAGCCCTTGGTGTCAGCTCCTTATTTTATTCCCCGCTCCCCCGTCCCCTTGATAATTTATAAATTATTATTATTTTATCATATCTTACACCATCCGACGTCTCCCTCACCCTCTTCTCTTACATCCCCCAGGGAGGAGGTTATATGTAGACCTTGTCATCTGTTCCCCCTTTCTCCCTCACCTTCCCACCACTCTCCCGATATCGCCACTCTCTCCATTGGGCCTGAGGGGTTCGTCTGTCCTGGATTCCCTATATTTCCAGTTCCTATCTGT